TCGGGCAGATGTTAGATTAGCGTGATTTTCTCCAGTTCTTCGACGGTTGATTGGGTAGCGTCGGAATCATCGAGGACCATGAAGGATCGAGGAATCCCATAATCATCATCTTCGTCAGTCTCCGGTTTTTCTAGTTGGGTCGAGGCTGACGTTTGTGATTGCTATTTAGTGTCCCGTTTTTCTTTCGAATCTGATCCATTCGTCGACGGCAAATATTTCTTTTGCGGCCGGTTGCTCCTCGTAGACCATTTTGATTCCCTCTGATGTTGAGAATTTCAGAACCTGGTGAAGGGCCGAGGGCACTGCTCTCATATTGTGGATCCATGGCCTCCCGAATAGGGCGTTATATCTCATATCGCCCTTGATTACATGGAACTTTGTTTCTTGGATGGTCCCAGCTACGTTTACTGGCAAAATTATCTCGCCCTTAGTAGTTTCACACGCCATATTGAATTCGTTTAGTACCAGGGTTGCAGGCACGACCTGGTCCTGCAGACCGAGTTGCTTTACGATCCTCGATCGAATGATGTTGGCCGAACTACCTGGATCAATTAACACACGCTTAACTTGAGTTTTATTCATAAGTACAGATATTACCAGTGCATTGTTATGGGGTTTCAAGATTCCTTCCGCGTCTTCGTCACTAAAGGACAAGGTTCCTTTAGATGTGTAATCCCGAGTCTGAAACCACTTCTCTCTTACAATCGACATCTTAGTGCGTTTAAGAACCGGCCCCTGGGGGATATCGATCCCTCCGATGATCATGTGGATGACGTGTTGCGGCTCTTCTTATTCGTTTTGTCTATTGAAATATCTATTTTTGAAATGGTTTTTGGCCCGGTCGCTTAAACATTCTCGAATGTGCCCTTCATTGAATAACCGAGCAACCTCCTCTCTCAACTGCCTGCAGTCTTCGGTTCTGTGGCCATGGGGTGCCATGATACTTGCACATTTGATTGGGATTTCTCTGGTCTGGATCGGACTGCAGAGGTCGAGGCCACTTAGTATCTTTGATGCGTCCGATGGCTGACACAATAGCGGATGCATCGATGTTGAAGTTATATTCTGATAACCGTGATGCTTCCTTAGGTCCGGTATGCCTGTCGAACCCATTCCTGTTTATCAGTAGCCGAGATCCTTGGCCTCGATCGCTTCTCCTTTCTTCTTGTACGGGATTGTGTACAGGTTCGCTGACCATGCAATCTCCGTTATACAACCGATATCGGTCTTTGTTCGACCTTGGTTCTCGGTCGATGTCCCTTTTAATAACAGACCCAGAACCTAACTGGTCGTCTTCGACTCTAATCTTTAATTGATATCGATTGTGTACATAGGCCCAGGTAACAGCCGGATACTCGATCAAGTTCTGCTTCAACCATCGTGAAGACATCGAGCTTCGTTCGTTTAGTCCTTGGGTGAAAGCTTGAACGGCCAAATCATCCGTGACTGGTGGTAGATCCATTTGTTCCATTTGGAAATGAGATACAAACTCTCTTAGCATTTTGTTACCTTTTTGCCTTACCTTAAAAAGATCCGATTTTCTGGTTTCGACCTTTATGGCTCTGGCATGTGATTTTACAAAGGAATCTACAAGCATAGCAAAAGAATCGATAGAGTTAGGCGGTAAATTATGATACCATATCATTGCTCCCTTTGACAGGATTTCACCGAACTTCTTCAATAATACGAATTCGATCTCGTCATCTTCTAGATCTTTCCCTTTGATGGCACATGTGTAAGAGGTGACATGTTCGTTGGGGTCGTTCATTCCATTGTATTTAAAAATTTCAGGCATGCGAAACTTCTTGGGGATCGGTTTTGGAGCCGCGCTCGGGGGGAAAGGCTTTTGCATAAACTTTTTGGAATCCAAGCCATTCAATATCGGTGGTGCCCTTGGGATCCGATCAACCCTAGAGTTATATGTTTCCACCTTTTGGTCTTTTGCTTCAATCTTCCTTTCTCCTGATTCTATTCGTTTTGTCAATTCTTCGAGCATCTTAATAATTTTGGATTAGTCCTCGATTCTTGTTCATTCGACCTCACTATAGCTGGCCCCGTATTTTGGGTGACTTCTTGGGGTGGACTGGGCTCGAGCCTGCTCGATGCCTGGCTTTGGCTTTGCAACTGGGCTATTGCTACTTGTTGAGCTTATAACATTTCGAAAATCATACGCAGGTTGATTTCGTCCTCTCCAGTGTTTTGTGTATTTCGAACTACAAATCGAGTTCCACCATGAATGATGTTTTCTGGGTAGGAACGTTGGTTCGCCTCAATGGCCACATGTGAATTAACGTTGATTGGATATACGACTCGAGTTCCAACGGGGTCGAAGAGTGGCCTTTTATCCCCGGGAGTCAGGTTGTTATTCTCATCTTGAAGGCCAGCTTCGTTGTCGATAGGTAGGGCCATTATTTGAGAGCTTGTCATTTTTAACCTGAAATCGAAGACACTTCCAAGAACAAGCGTGAAATAGTGTGTTTTACAGAGATTCGTACCAAATAACCACTATTATCCTTAGCCCCACGGTGGGCGCAAAACTGTTTACCTGAAAAACTGATAGAGTTGAATTTGTACGTAGTTTTAAGGATATATGGTATAACTTGATACAAATTGGAAACAAAAGTAGAAATATATCAAATATTGACTGTGAAAAAGGAATGAAATACAAACCCAAATTGAGTAGAGAATGATCTATGAATGAACAAGATGAACCAATGACTAAAGCCCCAAAAAGGGATAATATTTACTATATGTGTGTGTATCATTGCTCCCTTTGACAAGGTTTCACCGAACTTCTTCAATAATACGGATTCGATCTCGTCATCTTCTAGATTATTCCCTTTGATGGCACATGTGTAAGAGGTGACATATTCGTTGGGGTCGGTCGTTCCATTGTATTTAGGAATTTCGGGCATGCGAAACTTCTTAGGGATCGGTTTTGGAGCCGCGCTCGGGGGGAAAGGCTTTTGCATGAACTTTTTGGAATCCAACCCTTTCAATATCGGTGGTGCCCTCGGGATCTGACCAACCATAGAGTTATAAGTTTCCACCTTTTGGTCGTTTGCTTCAATCTTCCTTTCTCCTGATTCTATTCGTTTTGTCAGTTCTTCGAGCATCTTAATAATTTCGGGATTAGTCCCCGATTCTTGTTCATTCGACCTCACTATAGCTGGCCCCGTATTTTGGGTGACTTCTTGAGGTGGACTGGGCTCGAGCCTGCTCGGTGTCTGGGTTTGGCTCTATAACTGGGCTATTGCTACTTGTTGAGCTTGCAACATTTCGAAAATCATACGCAGGCTGATCCCGTCCTCTCCAGCATTTTATGTATTTCGAACTGCAGATCGAGCTCCACCATGAATGTTGTTTTTTGGGTCGGAACGTTGGTTCGCCTCAATGGCCACATGTGAATTAACGTCGATTGGATATACGACTCGAGTTCTAACGGGGTCGAAGAGTGGCCTTTCATCCCCGGGAGTCAGGTTATTATTCTCATCTTGAAGGCTAGCTTCGTTGTCGATAGGTAGGGCCATTATTTGAGAGTTTATCGTTTTTAACCTGAAATCGAAGACACTTCCAAGAACAAGCGTGAAATAGTGTGTTTTACAGAGATTCGTACCAAATAACCACTATTATCCTTAGCCCCACGGTGGGTGCCAAACTGTTTACCCGAAAAACGGATAGAGTTAAATTTATACGTAGTTCTAAGAATACGTGGTATAACTTGATACAAATTAAAAAAAAGTAGAAATATATCGAATATTGATTGTAAAAAAGGAATGAAATACAAAGTCAAATTGAGTAGAGAATGATCTATGAATGAACAAGATGAACCAATGACTAAAGTCCCAAAAAGGGATAATATTTACTATATGTGTGTGTATCTCAACAATCTTTGAAATGTGAAAGTGTATCAATGTTTGAATGTCCCCCCTCCCCCACAAATGGCAGCTACTCTAATATAATGGAGGAATCCTACTTTGGATATAATTAAAAATACATAGTGGGATCCCATGATAGATTAGTCAATTAGCTTTTCCTTGATTTCTGCCGAGATTCTCTCCCTTAGTGCGGCTATAACGGCTTTGCTGTCCCTTGACTCGAGCTCGATTGGTCTATAAGTCTCGAGCTCGGTATTGACTCGAGCTTTGGTTTTCGAGCTCGACTTTGACTTAGTTTCGGTATTTGATCGGTCTCTGGGTCTTGACCTCTATCTGGGCTCGATGTCGATCTTGGCTGATCCCGACCTTGGTTGGTTTCTAGGGCTCGAACTCAGCAGCCTGACTTCACGTCATAGCTCGATATCATAATGACGAATCTCGGTCCATCATGCCCCAGACTCAATCAGTTACACGAGGGGAAACTCGATTTTGACCGTATACAAGCTTAAACGTTGATTTGACCAACTTAAAAGCCAATCCAAACACTCTCATAATTTCAACCTTAAGTTTCAAGCTTCTAGCCTTATACCTGTTTGGCCAAGCTTTTATTTGGCCAAAAAGTATTTTTTTTAAAGTTAAGATATTTAGCTAAGCTTTTAGAAGGAAAAAAAAAATACTTTTTAATAAAAGCAAAAGTATTTTTTAAGAAGCAAAAAAAAAAATAATTTTTTCCCAAAAGAATTTTTTGAAAAGTATTTTTGAGAAAATATACTTAGAATTACTTTTTAAAAACTTGATCAAACACTAGTTGTTATTCAAAAATGTTTTTCAAATTAAATACTAAAACACAAACCGATTCTCACCAACAATACTTTTTTGTACAACACTTTTGATCAATTATTTTTCAAATTAAATTGATTTTAAAAATTTGACCAAATTGTTGGTATGGAATTCGTATGAGTTACTTTTTCATATGATTGTATGAAAATGAAAATATGTGCAAATATATTTAAAATTATAATAATTAATAGATATAAACTCATTATTTTAAAAGTATATAATAAATTATTTATTATTTATTAAAGTCCTTAAAGATACTATATATTCTAAATCCGCCTTCGTTAGTACGTGGCGGCAAACCCGTCAGCGCAGAATCTGGAACCTTCAGACCCGCTAGCCACATCATCGATGGTGGTGACACGGCTTAGCTTTTGCTGACTTTCTCACCAAGTCACACGACTTTATTTTGCAGTCTTAAAATTCAATACCCAGAATATGGCGATGAGATCTGTCGTTTCAAGCAGTGGAGTCCGTCGTTTAATGGATGGTAGTGGACGATCATCGGTTTCGGGCCTTCGCTATTTCACCGACGGCAAAGGTCGAGTCCTCAGTGAAGAAGAACGTGCTAAAGAGACCGTTTACATTCAGGTATTTAATTAATTTTTCATCCATATGTTTTTTTTTCTAAAAAATTGATTGTGCAAAGATTAGTATTTATATATTTGTTTTTGGTGAAAAAAGAAAATGGAAAGGGAGAGGATGGAGAAGGCGAAGCTGAAGGCTGAAAGAGAGAAAGCTGACAAGGTAGTACTGTTTGACTTTCGAAATTCGATCAGTGCCATATAAATTGATAGTATTGAAGTAGGTGTAAAAATTGATATGATTTGTGCCCTTTCCATTTTACTTGTTGACTAATCCTTGGATTGTATTCCTTCCTGAATTATAATCTTGGAATGTGTTTTTTCATTTTATATTGAAACAAAGTAAAAGAGTGGTGACCTGATCAGACATATGGTACTGTTTTTTGGCAATTGCCAATTTGAATTTTTTTAACTCATGTACCTGAATGCTTACAACTTAAATAGAATTCTTGCCGTCTTATAAAGAAAAGAAGGAGCTGCTCTTGATTAAATCAGGAAGAAAATAGCCTCGACCGGACCTTAATTAGTACGCCTTTCAGCAGTCAAATTGCTAATTTAAAAGAAATTATTGATAGCTTAAACAATTGGCTATTAGCTTGGGGAGGATTATACTTAGGGAAGAACAAACAGGCTCTGAAGTCTATAATTTTGTAAGTAAAATTTTGATATTTCAACAAATTGGTTTCCGAGCTACTACATCTAACCTGTTAGTTATCATCTGTTAGATTTATGTTTCTGTTCATTTTTTCTGTTCATTATTTTGAGAGGCAGAGGGCAAAAACTGCTCAATCTCATGATTCTTTCTTTCATGGGTTTTTTCATATCCAAAGCTATACTGTTAGTTAAACAGAGGAACTGGCTTTGATTCTTTGGCTAATTGATCATAGTCTGAATTACTTTTATTTTTACCAAGAAATGAGTTCATAAAAAATATGCGCACACACATATACATACATCAAGTTGGTATTTTATTTTAAAATGTGAGATAATTCAGCAATAACGTATATGCATGCAATGCGTTTAGATTCTAAACTAGTAATTGAATCAACTTGTACTTGGTAGTCTGTTCCTTGTAAACATCATGCTCAACCTTTCTTCTCACCCGCCATTTCTTTTCTTTAGCAGAAGGCTGAAGAAGAGGCTCATAAGAGCTGAAGTGCGTCGCCTGCGCTGAGTTGTGAAACTCTTGTTCTCAAGTCCTGTTTAACAAAAATAATGTATGCTGAAGTGTTGCCTTATCATAGGGATTGGGCCTGTCCTTGTACAGTATGGTTTAGTAGCCGAGCTTTTAGTGTGTCAGTGTGGTCTATGATGCTGTGAACTTCCTATTTTCAAGATCATATTTGTTTTGGGTTATCTCATCTCCTAGTAATTGCTGTATGTGAGCACCTAATTTTTGAACATATTTAAATTTTTAACACATATTATTTTGCGGGTAGAAAAGGAGTGTGACACTGTACACATTATGTTTCTTGAGCCATATCTTTAGTTCCTATTTGCAAGTATTTGGGAGAGACAAATCTGTCCGAGAGATTGGCACACTAGAGGTTAACTGAATGATTTCGCCATTGAATGGATATGGTTAGATAAACATAGCAAGCAATTTGGTAACAAGAACAGTTTTCTGTTATCTTAAGCTACAACGAGCACTGGTATCATGATTGGTGCTGTTCGATTAATGATTCAATCGCTTCATCGTGCAGGAAAATATGAGTAGAATTGATCCTGCCAACCCCGGTTCATCCGTTGGAGTCGAGACACTGTAATTCCTTTCAATGAATAGCTCTGTCCAGGTCTAAAACTGCTTGTTGACAACTCCTCATGTGATGCAATAGCAAAGGGTTGGATTCTTAGTGTTGGTATATAAGTAAATAGGTTTTCTTTCTCTCACAGAAATAATAGAGCCAGTCTCGGAGAATGCTGCAGAGGGGAAACGATATGTTACAGTTAGAATTTCGATTCCAGTGCTAAACTATGTCCAATAAGTTTGATGCTGCAACTCATCCGCAATATTCAGTTTTCCTTTGGCAAGATGTAGATTATTTGTTTGAAAAAGTCGCATAAACACTATTCCCATTTCCTTTTTTAATCTCTACAGAAAATTTGGTCCAGATCTCAAACCCAATGAGCAACACGCTCTACTCACAAGACTCAAAACAGATTCTAAGAAATAGAGTGAAATGTATTTGAAAAGGGAAAGCAAAATGTTAAAAGGTTATACACCCAGACTAGAGAGTATTCCTGCATCCTCATATTATAAAACAAGAATGTCAGTTATTATAGCACCAAAACATACTTGAAATGAAGGATTAAGAAATGCTTGAAAGTCGAAAGAGAAACATGTTCTATTTGTAATACACGATAGCTGTATGGCAAGTATTTTTTCTAAAATTTCAATAATTAACCCATTCTTGGCCTTATCTCAATTCCTTCAACAATAAGGCCTTGCTTTGGAAATCCACCCTTCACCTCTTGCACTCTCATTTCTATGCAATCATCTTCATTTTCAATGAAAAACTCACCCAATTCTATCTCAAACCAGCCATCATCTCTAAGTTTAGGAAGTAGTTTATCAGATTGCACGATGCCAGGATCATCACGCCAATTGAATAGACGGCGCACCTCGTATTCCACATTAGAAGGCGGAGTAGGAGGTGACACCTCATTTGGCTCATAATCGTCAACTGGCTCGGGCTCCTCATGCTCCGTATCAGAGGCCAGAGTATACACATAATCTTCGTCGTCATCATCATCATCAAAAGGATTACCCGGTTCATTTTCGTCATCTGGATGCAAAAAAGCAAACCGGACGTTTCCGGATTCAACACCAGAAATTCCAACTGAGACCTCCGAGGGTCGATGATTAAACCCATATCCATCTTTGAACTTGTAAACAAAATAAGCTGTGTAGGATGTCAGTGGTGATAGAATCCCAGCCTTTATTGTGCCCCAAATTTCAAGCCACCAAACAATTTTGAGCTGAGCCACCTCTGGAAACCTATTTTCGCAATATGGGGAAAACTATTACTCCATATATCTAAGAGTTTAAGTTATATACAGTGTGAAATATTTTTATACAATCAAATCATCTTACAATATTGATATGCAGGCCTCCTTAAATGTATAATTTATAATCTTGAAAATAAGATAAGAAAAGATGACATGATGGTGTAAAAAATTCGTTTATGCATAGAATTTAAATAAACTAATGTGTATATTTATTCTCAAGAGAAGGATAGTCTGTATAGAAGACGGCAAACCTGGACTCTGGTAGTGAAGTCCAATTCCAATATTCTGGTGCATCACTCCATACAATGTTAAGATCCCTTGCACTTACAAAGTAGCATTTCTTTCCAGTCCGTTTTTCCAGTGAGAAACGCTGTTGAACAAAAGCATATCTAGTAAGTAGAGATGCACAACTGATGTAGGAGAACGAAAGTACAGAAAACATGTATCTATAAAGGTTTAACAAGATGACAAGAGATGTTTGTATATAACGGCCTCAAGAGATTGGGATTGCAGACAAGAGCGACCGATTGAAGACAAGCTCAGTCGCTCTTTTTTAATTACCAAGCTATGCAGAGTAGATATTTTTGTGGAATGGTCAGGTAAGGTAAATTTCATTAATAAAGGCATCCACGGGATGGCCGGATGCAAAAGCTGAATACAAAAGAAAAGAGGTAAGCCTCCTGCAGACAAAAGAAAAGAGGTAAGCCTCCTGCAGAAAATTCTAGCACTTAACCTCTCAAGGAGCTTACAAAATCTAAAAGCAAAAGGGATTGTTTACGTCAAATGGTTGCACACCAAGCAAAAAGGTTAAAACAGACATTTTTGTAGAATGGTAAATAACACTAAATTGTCACATTAACTGAGTCTTCCCAAAAGTATAATGAAAATTCTTTTCTTAATGTATCAACAATTATAGCAGAGCTAACAAATGATGTGAGCATTGAAAATTAAAAACTCAATAACACAACAGTTATAGCAGAGCTGACGCATGATGTGAGCATTAATAATTAAGACCTCAATCAAGTAGATTTTAATCCAACTGAAACTAAATATTCCCAAAAAACAAAAAAATGAACATCGTTTAGAAACAATATGAAAGCCAAAACATAAATAAATAATATCACGTGCTGGTTGTTGTGAACATGGATAACTCCCATAATGCTTATGGTCCAGTTATTTGGACGGAGGCTAGCCAAGCTGTTGGGCCTAGGGCTAAACTACGAAAAGGCCAAGGAATTAGACAGCCCAACAAGAGATTTGCTTGGGATCCGGGTTGAGTAGGGAAGTACGTGACAAATGGATAAAAGGGTTAATTGAAAATTCGAGGTTGAAATGTATATGTGATATTGCTATAAAGCGCATTTTATTTAATG